ACCGGTGTGGCACCTGCCTCTGCAGCCTCGGATGGGCATTCCTCCAACGGGCAGCGCTGATCATCCATCCGGTTGCTCTGGAACTTGCTCAGCAGGTCAAAGAAGCATTCGTCATCTGAAGGGGTCCGGTTGATTTTCTGGAAAGACAGTAAAATACAGAAAAGAGTCAGAACGCCCCAAACAACTCCCCGTGTCCAATCGCTCCATGTGCTGTGGCCTCGGCAGTGCACCGTGCCCTCTCCTGGTCTGTTCACAGGTCGGCTCCTGGCTGTGCCCACGGCTCACCCAGCCCCGCAGTCTGGAGCCTGCCAGGGGTCACTGCTCCTTGGTCCCTCTGTCCTCCTGGCTCTGAAATAACCTCTCCCTTTTTCCCTCGCCGCCCTTTGCTGTGGACAATCTAACGCCATCCTCCTAAAGGAGGCCACAGGCAGAGCATCACGAGGGTCCCCTCTCCTGCGGGGATCCCTGAGTGGGAACAGGGCGAAGAGCTGTTCTGTGACTTGTGCTCCACGAGAGGGGTGTCTGTGGAGAGCTGTGGCCCCTCCAACAGCTCACTCGTGCTGCGGCTCACCCCAGAGGCTCTGGGCTCTTCTGCAGCCCAAACTGGAGCCGGGCTCCTACCAGCAAGCACATGAACCTCACGCAGAGCGGCCTCTGTTGCTGCAGAGCATCCTGAGCGCGAAAAAAAAAGGAAAGAGGGGAGGAAATGGGACAGGGAAGAGGAGCTTCTGGGCTGGCAAAGGGCTGGGCTCCGAGAGGGACGAGGGAGAACCGTGCAGACACCATGGCTGAAGTGCCGCGCTCAGCCGACCTTTCTAACCAGCTAAATTTAACCTTTGCAGGCCACTGCCCCCCGCACTCCCAATGCTTCTTTTTGGTGCTCCTGTGTCCTCAGCACACCACTCGTAACAGTCACCGAGCTGCAAATGACATAAAATTATAGTTTTTCAGGAAAACAGTTCTTGCACAGGAGCCCCAAATAAGCACCTTGCACTAGACAGTGATATATTTAAGTCCTGCTGCAGAAGGGTTCGCGTTCAAGGCAGCCTTTCAAAAGCTCTGTGTTGTGTCCAGTTCCAGGGCAGAGAGGGGCTGCGTGCCCTGTGCTGGGAGAGCGAACCCCGAGTCCTGCTCTGGCGCGGCCGGAGCAGTAGGAGCAGCTGATCTTTCTGAGGAGCCACTCCGAATGGGATATAAAATTAGACGGCAATAAGAAGGGCATCTGCCAGGCTCAGGAAGGGTCCAGCGTGCTGAGCTGGTCCCAGCAGATGCTGAAAAAAACACAACAGATACAAACCAAAACCTCCTACAGCTGGGTCTGCCTGTGCTGAGCTATTTTCCAGCAGGGGGTTGGGGAAGGCCAGGCTGGGAAGGGGCACTGGGTCCCTCCTGGGGAGCAACGCACCCCACCGGAGAGAGCACACAGAGGACTGCGCCTGGAGCGCCCTGGAGCACCAGGCTGCCCAGCCGTGGTTGTTCATGAAGCAAAGCCCCTCCGCCATCCTGGGCAGCCTGGGAGCCCTCCCTCTCCTACCACGTGCGGTGCCGTTCCCAGCAGAGAGCTCTTCGCTGGGACAGAGGCACGCGAAGCCCTTCAAGGGAGGGCTGGGTTGGGGAGAGCCTTGTGCTGACAGGGTTAAAGCCGCACATTGGATTCAGTAAATGAAGGGAAACAATTTTCCCCGTATGCTAAGCGAAGCAGATGAGATGCACTCAGCTTCTATTTAGGGCAGCGTCAAAATTAGCAGCAGGCCAGAGAGGAACATTAGCAATGTGGGAGCTGATCTCAGGGAGGGGAAAAACCCCTCTCGCCTCTTTCTGTGTGCCGATCCACTAATGAAACAGCGGCTCAGATGGACTCTCTGAACCATCAACAGTTGCACCTTGGAAATCAAAGCCTGCTTGAGCTTGAACCAAGGATGAACTACATCTCTCACAGCTCTGCTATGTTGGCTTGCGTGACCCAAATTTCAGGCTAGAGGAGGAAGCCGGCTCATTCACACCAAACCTCCCTCTAGCTTCCCTGCAAATGCACAGAGTAAATCGGAGCAGTCGCAGAGCCACAGAAGTTTTGCCTCGCAGGGAGCAGCCGGGCAGCCCGTTGGTCAGAGCCCCCAGTTCGGGGCTTCCCCCCAGCAGAGACCAGATTCCCCCGGGATGCATCCTGCCAGGGACCCTGAAATTTCCCCTGTCAGGGTCTCTGCTCAAAACGTGCCCGGGAGAGGAAAGGATGCTCTGAATCAGTAGGAAGAGCAGCCGGTGCATGCGAAGCGTGGGACGGGGCTGGCTGCGTGCCTGGGTACCTCCCGGTACGGTGGCACCGGAGGGGCAGGAGCCTGGTGCCCGCGGGCCAGCGTTAGGGCTTGCACGTGCCGTGCCAGCCCGGGATGTGGGGTGCTGCAGGGCCCGCAGCAGCACCCACTGACACCAGGCTCCCCCCCAGCACTGCCCTGACCAAACTGCGCCCCAGGCCTGCACCTCTCTAATTAAAATGCCCACACATGACAAGGCACGGAGCGCTTGGCTCCCTCCACTCACAGTCTGCTCCTGGCCTCGAGGAAGGAGCTGCGAGGGCAGATGGACGTGCAAGCACACCCTGGGGCCCACCGTCTGCTACTGAGCTGTGCTTGCCCGGGGTTTGGCACAGCCAGGATGATCAGGAGGCCTCCCAGGAGCCAGGGCATCCCCCAATGGGGCTGAGCAACACAACACAACTGGTCACCACGGGCCCAAGACCCAGAGCCCTAAATGGTTCCTGGGCAGCAGCTTTGATTTCCAGCCCCGAGATCACTTCGACCCCATGGCTGGTGTCCCTGCCTGGCTTTGTCACCCGTCCTCCACCTCTAGCACAACTGCCCAAATTCTGCCAACTGTTATTGTCCTCCAGTCAGCCAGCCTCCATCACAGGCAAAGCGGCAAACCAACCCCTTCTGCGCTGGGCAGCGACCCGGGGCTTTTGCTGGCACCTGCGGACCAGGGGCTGCTGGCACTGCAGAGATCGCCCCGGGGCAGCTTCAGCCAAAAACACACTCGCCCTCAGCACAGGCACAGACACACACAGCTCTCCTCATGCGGGGACCAGGACAAGTGTGGAGCCTCTGCTCCTGCTCCCTGACCCCAAGCAGGACAGGGACGGCCGCTGCCAACGGGGTCAGAGCTTGGTTCCCATTTCTGTGGGTGGTATTTCCCACCTGGATGCTGCTGGCTCATCGGAGATCTGAGCAACCTGGTTAAGGACAGCCTGGGAGCAGGACTGGCTCACCTGAAACAGGCCTCCCTCACTGAAAGGCATCCAGGCTTTTGCATGCATTTATTTGCTGGTGGATGAGCATGCTGGTTAACCTACCGGGTCGGATCCAGGGTGTGTAAAACACAGCTGAGGTGTTGGAAAGGCAGCGAACAGCAGCTGCGGGGAGTGATGGGGAGCCTGCTGCCGCTCCTCTTCATGCAGCAATGCTGCCCCAGGGAGCCCCTCTGCTCGGCAGGGACCGGCGGGCTCTCTCGCTGGGCGGGGGCGTCCCGGGGGGGGGCCCGCCAAAAGCCCCTGCCTCTCCCAGGCTGCAGGTCACTGCCCTGCGGAGCACAAATGCACCCTATTTCCTCTCCAATAAGCTCTCACTCATGCTAAATAAAACCTTTTGCAGTCTCTGGCTGAGAAGGTCCTGGCTGCCGGGCTCTGCCTCCCAAGCACAGACCAGCATCTCATGGGGAAAATCCTCACATTGGCTACCCCGGATGTGCAGGTGAGGCCAAGGCTGAAGCGATCCCAGGCAAATTAAAACCAAGTCAGAACAGACTCCTATGCATAAACCCTCTTGGCCATTTCCACTTGGACTCAGGAAGGCTATTAAACAAATGTAGAAGGCCTAATCGCAAGAGCTAAAACACTTTCCACCTCCCAACACCCAAAGCCACAGCCCACAAATGCCCCACAGGGCTTCTGCCCTTGGCTGCTGCTGCCCACCGGGGTCTCTGCAGGGCAAAGCCTTTCTCCGACACATTCCCGAGCCCCAGCCTGGGATCGGCAGAGGACATGTTAATTATTTCCACGCTAGTTTCACATGGTGTTCCCATGCGTGAGGTCCCCGAGGGTCCTGTGGAGCAGGACACAGCACTGCCTGGCAGGCAGATGATGGGTGCCCTTGTGCCTGGCACTGGACACACACCCTGGGCCAGGAGCAGTAAGTCCTTGGCTGGAGCAGGGCAATGCCACCAGCACGGTGGCTTGGGCTTTCTGCTCCAGGATGCTGCTCCCAGGCAGCAACCTGTCCCCAGTCTCACTTTGGCACCTGAGCAGCCCATACCCACCTATCGCCCCAGCTGTGCTTCTCCGCTGTGCACCAGCACCTGCTGTTAGAAACACCCTCAACCGAACAGCTCTGGTGACAGCAGCTTCTCCCACAGCTTCCTGCTGCCCCCACAGGGTTTAAAGTCAGCTCGGCAGAGCTGGAGGGCTCCCCGCGGAGCAGCGGCAGCCAGGGCAGGATGCAGGTCCCCCCGCATTCACTGCTGAGCCCCACCAAAAGCCACATGACAACGTGCTCCCAGGTTGCTCTGGGACAGGGCAAGGTCCCCAAGGACCATGGCAGATGGTTTCTGCACTGGCAGAGCCAGGGCAGGTCCCCCAGCACCACATGCCAGAAGCACCTGCCCAACCATGCATGGGTGAAATGTTCCCTTCAAAGGGTGCGTTGCCCAGCAGACCAAACTACAGATGCTCATAGGCTACCCAAAAGGCCAAACCTTGTTCTTCCATCAGATCAGCTTCTCTTTTCACAGCCGGTGTTCCCATGGGGTGCTGGCCTGCCTTTGGTCCTCTCTCCTCCAGGCTGAGCTTCCTGTAGACCTGCCCCGATGCAGCAAGGGCTTGTCAAGCTGGAGGACTGCTCGCTCTGGCTTCTCCCAGCCTGAAGGGGACGGTGCTGCCCGACCTGCGGGCAGGACCTGCTGCCCAGTGGCAGATGGACCTCCGTGGGTCTGGCACAGCAGATGCAGCTCAGGAGCTGCTGCTCGAAGGCGGACTGGCTCTGGTGTGCAGGCCAGGTCAGGGACGAGGTGAGGACAGATACAGGTTCAGGGATAACGCAGCAGTTTTCACCGCTACTCCCACAGCAGCCCCTCAGAGTGCTGCCGTGGC